CTCCCTCCCTCCCTCACTCTCTCTTTTTCTTCGTCCGTCCGTTCGTTCCCTTCTCTTTTCCACGCTGCCTCATCTCATTTTTTTCTACCTCCGTTTCCATTTCCCCCCTCTCCTCGCCTTTCTCTTCCGAAGTATCCACTGTCCCCACCGGCCGAGGCCGTGCCCCCTCCTGCCACTCCCCGGACACATGCGTGGTGGTGGAAGGGCCGAGGCCCGCTATCTCCGCACGCATCGCCTCGCCACACGGCCTCGGCCCCGACCAACATCATCAGGATTGATACAATCAACCAACAGACATGTGTCGCCTGAAAGGCTGCTGGCTACGCCGTGGGCGTGGCGGGCGTGGCTGGCGTGGCGACGCGTGGCGCACCCCGCTGTAGGCTCTGCAGGGGCAGAAGCCGGGGCCCAGGACGCGAGGGCCGAGGCCGCGGGGACCGAGGCTGCGAGGGTCGAGGCCGCGAGGGCCACGAGTCCACTCTAAGTATGACCGCGAGCCACTCTCGAGGCGAGATATGGTGAGCGGCGAGCCCCCGTCCCCGTGCCTGCAAGACATGGGGTCGGGAAGGGGTGTCGCAAGTGCTATCTATCTCCGGAAAACAGTTGCTACATGTATGTTGTGATTTCCCAGACTTGCTCGATACGGAGAAAAAGTGAAATCCAACACTTCTGCGTAGTCAAATATTGAGCATTTTGCTATCTCAATTCGACATAGTTTTTGACTATTCGCAATACTTGTGAAGTTGAACTAATTTTGATAACGAAGAGGAGTTGTGACCCCGCCTCTCTATAAGACTTGGGGCAATGTTTTTTACAACGACGTTTGTGGATAAGTTTTGAGTTTTGTTTTAAATACACTAAGCAACATCCCCTGCCACGTAATTTCGCTCACGACTGCAATCCACACAACAAATAAAAGCAGTGTTTTTCGTAAATGTATGTTATCCAACTCGCCGCTGTTCAGAAATGCGATAGTGAATTATTTTCACATTTTCTAGTAAAACTTCAAGCTAAAGAAAGAACAAAACCAAAAAGAATGGTGAGAGTAGGGAGTAGAGTACCTGCAGTCCCCAGTGCCATCGATTCGATCCCGTGCCGAGGGCCGCGCAGCCCTGCCCGGTCCCGGTCCGTCCGGCCGCAGCGGCAGAGAGAGCGAGAGGTGCTTGTCACCGCAAAATATTCCCGATGACGCATTCATTGCCGTTTGCCTGAATAAGTGATATCGCCGATGCGCAGAGGATAGAAATTTGCGGTGTGTTTGAAAGCGTTTCATCTCGCCCCACAGCTGACCTGCTCCCCCCCC